CCTCCACCTCCCAGGTTCAAGCGATTCTCCTGCCTCAGCCTCCTGAGTAGCTGGGATTACAGGTGTCTGCCACCACGCCCAGCTATTTTTTTTTTTTTTTTTGTATTTTTAGTAGAAACGGGGTTTCGCCATGTTGGCCAGGATGATCTTAAACCCTGACCTCAGGTGATCCGCCTGCCTCGGCTTCCCAGAGTGCTGGGATTACAGGCATAAGCCACCACGCCCGGCCTAATTTTTGTATTTTTAGTAGAGATGGGGTTTCCGCATCTTGGCCAGGCTGGTCTTGAACTCCTGACCTCAGGTGATCCAACCGGACGCGGTGGCTCGTGCCGCCTCCTGGGATTACAGACATGAGCCACCACGCCCTGCCAGATGCAGGTTTCAAAGCAGATGCTCCCGCTCATGCAGCTGGCTGTGAAGACCCAGCATGCAGCCTTCTCAGCCAGTCCTGACAGGTGGAATGAGCCCTGGGACCTTAGCCTCTTCTGTCTTGGACCTCAGCTCCCACTGTCTAAGAAAGGGACGGGTTTACTGCATAGTTCTTCCAACTCTGAATGTCTCCTCCCATTTTCTGCCCCAGGGGACCCAGCTACCTGTAAGCAGATCACCAGTGCAGATGCTGTGAGGAACATGGAATGGGCCACAGCTACTTGTGTCCTGGGGTTTGGGGTGTTTGGTGAGTTCTGGAATGAGAGAGGGCTCACTGAGGACAGGAGTTCTGAGAGACATCCCTGCTGGTGGTTTCCAGAGTCTTACTGTTTACCTCCAGTGTAGGAAGCTCACTCCTTTACTGCATGTGGGCTGTGTTTGTGTAAGAGGAAAGGGTAGGGTGAGATGACTGATTAGAGCTGTCATAAAATGAAACCAAATGGGCGTGGTGACTGGCCAGGAGAGACCACACTGCCGGTGCCCTAGCCACCCATTCATTCAGTCACGAAATCAGCAAGCACGTATTCCCTGAGCAGTTCTGTGCCCGCTATGGGCTTGGCAGTGACCCTGACTGAGGGCCCTGCTCTCCTGGGGCTCTCAGTCCAGTTGGGGAGGCAGACTTGTCCCCAGACAGTGATGACCCAGAGTGAGCAGGACTGGGACAGGGAAACCCAGGGTGGGGCATCTGGCCTAGTCTTGGAGGGAATCAGGGAGGGCTTCCTGGAGGAAGAGACATCTGAGCTAGGACCTGGAGGATAAGGAGTCACTTTCCAGGGCAGTGAAGAAGGAAAGCAGTCTCTAGGCAAAGGGAATAGCACATACAAAAGCCCAGGCGTGACACAGAGCTTGGCATTCGGAGAAATGCAGGGAGGCAGGGTGGCCAAATCATTACAGAGTTTAACGGGAGCACTGATGAGGGATGAGGCTGGAGCAGTGCATGGGGCCCGCTGAGGCTTAGAACTATAGACCTTCTTCTAAGATCACCAGGGAGCCATGGAAGGGTTTTGAGCAGAGCAGGGGCAGGCTCGGATTCACATTTTAAGAAGGTCATTCTGGGTCGTATCCTTGGATAGATACAGGCTAGGTCGGAACAAATTAGGGTGGCTGGTGTGGCAGTCTGCTTCTCTTGGCAGTCCCTGGCTCCAGCTGACATCTTACAACTTACCTCCATCTTGCCCACAGGGATCTGGTCCGAGGGGGCGGATGGCACTGATATCAATGCTGTGGCCCGCTCCCATGATGGGAAGTTGCTGGCTTCAGCTGATGACTTTGGCAAAGTTCACCTGTTTAGTTACCCGTGCTGTCAGCCTCGAGTGAGTCCCTTGGGGAGATGGGGGTGGACAGGGGTAGCAAGCAGGGGTGGGGACAAGATTCAGGCAGCTCTGGTCCAACCCCACCCCTTCTCTAAGCCTCAGTTTCCCCATCTGTACAAGGAAGACAGTGGTCTTGATCCCAAGGGCCTTTCTTAATCCAAAGGTGGATGAATTTCAGAGAGTGTGCCATGCTGAAGACATGGTTCTCTTTTTTTTTTTTTTTTTTTGAGACGGAGTCTCGCGCTGTCGCCCAGGCTGGAGTGCAGTGGTGCGATCTCGGCTCCCTGCAAGCTCCGCCTCCCGTGTTCACGCCATTCTCCTGCCTCAGCCTCCTGAGTAGCTGGGACTACAGGCGCCCGCCACCATGCCTGGCTAATTTTTTGTATTTTTAGTAGAGA